TCTTCAACATCGTCGGAGAGCGTATCGAAAGCCGAGTCAATATGCACCTGAAGAATTCTCTGTGCTTTCGATACATCCTGGGCAAATCTGGCGTAATAACTTGCCAAGTAGGTCCTTGATACGATGTTAGATAATTGGGGCCCACTGACTACTAAATCATTCATCTTTCGGAGATAGACATCAGGACTAGATGAGTTTGATGATCTTGACCTCATGGCTTGATCAAAATAGTAAGCGCACATCCAACTCGAGGCAGAAACCTGCGAATTGTTCCATGCCGCAGGATATATCTCGAGGCTGATGCAGCGTTCCCAGCATTGCATAGCTTGTTGAACACGGGTAGCTTCTTCCAAGCCGTAGCGATAGATGGCGACGCCTTTGTAGAGGAGCAATGAAGCTGCTTTAATGAAAAACATTTCTCTTAATTCTTGATTAATCGCAAGGTCAATTTGATGGATAAGGCCAGTGAAGGTCTCCGGCTTTTCGGAAAGCACATTAAAGCACATCCCAAACATGGTGGCTGGTCTGCCCTCAGACAGAATGTCGTTTATAATCAGTCCGAGTAGGCTAGGTCCGCTATGAATGCTTTCTGCCTTGACAAAATTGCTCAGGAGTTTCACTGCATCTTCGATGAAGTTGTTATCAAGATAAATCTTCAGAAGCTCGAACTGAGGCCTGTGTTCGGATGGGGTGAGCTCGATGGCCTGTTCCGCGTACTCGATGGCACGTTCGAGCTTCTCGAGACCAATTTGCCATTCGGCAAGGCGACTGTAATTGGTACTGAGAAGAGCATCTTTATCTGGATTGTCTTCGTTGCTCAAAATCTTCAACGCCTTATCCATCTCCTGACATGCCTCTTCATATTGCTTATTCCCCGCAAGCGCTTTTGCCAATCCTTCAATGCACTTCCAGCTGGTATCAATTAAGCTAATAGAAGTGTTGTATGCCGCAATTGCTTTCGAAAATTCCCCTTCACCAAGGTAAGTTTCTCCAAGTCGTTCATTCATAAGAGCCTTGGCTTCGTCGGTAGTGATGGGGTGCACCCCTTTACACCACTCCACAACGTATTCAACTGTCGCGCGTCTATGCAGGCCATCAGAACCATCGGTATCACTGTTATAATCTTCTGTATGCATGACCCCACGCGGTGGTGATGGTGGTGATGGTGGTGGCATAAGGCAAAACCCTTGCAGCCATGAAAACGCTTTCACAGCATCCCACTCCCTATCGCACAGCCAATGCCAGGCAACCGTTCGCATGATATTGACAAGCAAGGCCTTGTTAGGATTCGGGTCAACCTTGATCTTTTTCAACCAGTCTCGATCCAGGCGTCCTAAACGGCTAGTAGCAGTTGCGTCGTCTAGCCATCTTCGGAAAAATAATATTTCAAGTGGATCGCGATACCAGATCAATGATTGGCAACTATTCCAATGTCTTTCGACAGCTTCACCCGATACGAAGAGTGAAAAGAGACCCTCCCCGATTTCCTGTTTCTGAGATGGTGTAAGCTCGTCATAGCCTATTGCCTTTTCCCAAAGGTCCTCTAAATGCTGCGGTAGATAGTTCAAAAGGTAATCCCCTAGCACTTTCGACTCCTTACTAGGTTCACCGGCAAGCAAGATGAATGTGCGCCTCACGAGAGTCAAATTTCCGTCGACCTCGTTGACTTGTATGTTATTCTTGACACCGTTCTGTTCCGCAATTTGCTCAAATCCAAATGTGTTGTGGGCCAGAGAGTCAACTTTTTGAGACAAGCTCCACATGAACGACTGAACACTTCGTAGGTCACCCTTGGCAATCGTTATTGTCGCCGTAAACGTTGGTGTATCATCAACACTCCTCGGTTTATCACGCCTTTTGGTAAGCGTGTCGTCCATATCGGCAGTGACGGTCACTCTACCATCTCTTATGATTTTCAGAATATTAGAGTATTTCCCTTCCAATTTCTTTCTCAATCGCAGCGTCCCCCTTCTCTTAAAACGAAGCACTAGGGCTGCGCTCAATTGGTCAATAGAAAAGAAGGACCTGCCACAGATGACCCATATCAGAAGCTCGTTGAGTTCGTCGATTTCTTCCCCGGTCAGTTTCTCTTCTAATTGACTAATCACAGTCTGAGTAATCTGCTTCTCGTTCATGTTTGACTCATCAAGGACTTTGTCGATATCCGTCTCCAGCCCATCAGAAGCAACAACTTCTCTGATGTTTTCAAGGGCGGCCTTAGCTTTGTTGAAATTTCCACCAACCTGCTTAGCCAAGGTATGCAGGACTTTCATTCTTAATGCATCGTCTTCGGGGTCTTGGAGTATATCAATAAACCGGAGATAGTGTTCGATGTATCTCTGAATGTCTGGTCCATTATATTGTTCGAGATCGGAATTGACATGTGAAGGCAGGTCCTTAGTGTGGACTGTGTCACGCCTCGCAGAAAACAGCACGCGTACTGACGAATGTACAGAATTACACATGGTTTTGAGCAACTGTTCTTTCTGCTCCTTATTATCCAACGTCTCATCTGGTAGACCACTGAGGCCGTCAAGGACGAGGTAATGTGCCGTGTTCCCTTTAGGCGAGCCAATGCGGAGAAAATCCCACAGTTCTTGACAACTAGCGTCTCGGAAGAAAGAGGCATCCTCACTCTTAGTATCGCAGGACTGAGAGAGGCTCTTAGCATACGCACCATCCTGATCTGCGAGCTGAATGGCGATGCACTTCAGGGCAGTCGCGATAGGTCGCTTGTCTCGATCGTCCTTCGCAGTAGTATTCGGGAAGAAATGCGCAGCAATCAGGGTTCTCGTTGAGTACCTAGTAGGTGACTCATATTTTGATCGTAGATAATGAACCATAGACGACAGAATGACACTCTTTCCTGAATTTGGAGCACCCGTCAGGATGAACAAGGGGTTTGACTCTTTGTCATCTCTCTCCGCCCACCTTCGAAATTCGGGATGTTCCATAAACCATAGCGCTGTATTAGGGGCACAATCTCTTCTTGGCTTGTCGCACATGTCTTCGAAAGATTTATAAAGCGCGTCTTCAATGCCAAATTTTTTCTTAATATTTTGAACATGTTTATGTCTAGTGTCCTCGGAGTTGCGTTTATCATCAGCGGCTTTCAAGCTCGCAACATCACTTGCAATCTGTTGACTTCTCTCTGACTCCCCGTTGAGGTACTCTGTGAGGTCGCTCCTGGTATCTAACACTACCTTTAGTGTTTGTGTTGATTGAATTGAATGATGGGATTGAGTAAGCTTCTCAAATCTTTCCATTTCTGCTTGAATCCCAGAATCGTCATGGGTGATGAGAAGCTTCATTCTAGACTTGAACTTGCGCCACTTGCCGGAATCCCGAAGCTCAATGCTAAGGGCGCAAATGTCGACGAAGCTGATCATCACTTCGTGAATAGCTTGCCTGAGTTCTGGCTCAATATCGTTGAATTGGTCCATTCTCTCGTAAATCCTAAAGACGCTGAGAGAAGGACCTAGAGTTTCAAGTAGCCCATCAATTGCTTCCCGGAACGACTTGAACTGCTCTGGAATATCTAGTAGTAAGTATAATGCATTGAAGCATATACTGGACGGCGCCCCAAAAACCTTTGCTGGAGTTAGCATCACTTCATTACTTAACTAGGTATCTACCTAGAAAGGACTAATATGTCAATAACTCACCATCTCCGCTCCTTGTGCAGCTACACCACCTAGTAACTTCAGGCATCGTAGGATATTGAGGCCATACTCCTCAAATGTCTCCTTGCCTGTCCTCTCGTGAGGTTCCTTTTGGAACCGACTCTGTTCTAATTCTCTGACGCAGTCGTTTATGGTCTTTGGAGGTTTCACATTGACATTCATCCCAGTACGCTTGTTGAATCTAACAGTGGCGTCTCGCCACATCTCCTCCATTGAGGAATCAGGTCGTACAGATTTTGCCATTTTGAAGTTCGTTTAGCTGGTTAACCTCTGAAGGCATCCAGATCGATCTAAAGATGCTGAAGCCCGGACACGCGGGCACAATAACTGTTCAATATGGGTTTTAAGAAGTGGTGGGAAGGTATTATTAGAGGCTGCATGGAGGATTTTCAGCTGTCCCAGCAATGCTACGCCAAAACGGTCATGCGCTAATACCTGGCCAATACTTATTGAGACTTTCTCTTTGGCGAGATTTGATATTCCCGTGGTAATGCTGACGACCAGAAAACTGGATGTCACCTAACCTTGCGCATACATACCTATAGTAAATTTTATACCGATCAAGTTCCCGTGTCGATGTTTAGCTAAGAAGCCCTGGACTTGGGACTTATAGGTAACCAACAAGCCCAGAGTTATCACCAAACAGCGCCACTTTCGGCAACTTTGTGCTGGGGCTGGCTGATACCTATCCTAGGGACCTAACTAATTAAATATGAGTCCAAGTGCACTTTAAATTAAAGAGTTAAACATTCCCGTAGATTAATTTACCCCTTTCTTCCTCTGCGACAGTACAAATTCAATGTTCTCTGCGACGACACAAAAATGACATCAACATCAGAACCCCAGATTGAAGCCGATGGCTCTCAAGTCCAACTTCCTACTTACAACGAAGTAGCTGACGAAGGAACTAATGTTAACCAGAGCGCCGCTGCTACAGATTCAGCCAACGCCTGGTCCTGCTGGAAACGGAAAACGGAAAGTATTATTACGACGCACCAGGGCCACCTTCCATCGGCTTGTGTTTTACGCCGAAGCCTAAAACGTTGACGCCTGGACCGTAGGCATGGTTCGATCCGTTGAGGTAGGCTATTACTGCTTTTATTTTTGTCAAATAAAAGTGGTGTTGGGATTCATCACGTCAGGTGTGGCTTCTTTAAAAGACGATGAACTTGGTGACGAACTGAAGTGTAAAGGAAGACAGGTTTTACGCGAGCCTTGCTTATTTACCAGCCTTCCAGCCTAACCGACAGGAGAAATATTAACAGTAAAAAGTATAACCTCAAGCATACTCAAGAGCTAACACTAAAACGAAAAAAACGACGCAGGCCTGATTCGAACAGACGCTCCCGAAGGAACAAGATCAGCTTCTAATAGAACTAGATAGGATTCTTGGTTCTGGTAAGATTCTAGTCTTGCGCGATAACCACTCCGCCACTGCGCCTTAACTCTTCTCGTGATGAGCTGATTGGTTTGTGAAAAAGTTTGCGTTATGATTGCCTATGTATGTGGTTCCGCTACTGTAACCCTACGACAAAGGTTGTATGGACCATGCTGACCATGGCACCTAGGTACTATGTGACAGGCTACATCGTTAGATCTAATTAGGTAATGTGATTCAAGAATGGGCCAATTATGAATAACCTAATTGTTGAATAAATGGGCTAAGAAAAACTACCCGTGAAAATGGATACTGCCCAGCTGCCTAACCGAATGAATACCTAAGGTATGAATATTATAAATTTGGCCGACATGAAAATAAGCACGTAACTACCTACATGTAGGTACCTACCTAGTAGATGCATCAATTGATACAGCCTTAGGAGACGACCTCAAGGCGAATGATTTATTATCAATATGCACATTAACGTATGGATACGCGCATTTCGCAGGCTCCTAATCATCATGGCACTGTTAAAACCCCTAAACTACTTAGGTAAGTAGTAAACACGGCCATGATACTAGGTACCTTAATAAACAATAGCTACCATATCGGCGTCTACCTACCATCCTAGGAAATATTTCCCACGTGTCGACAAAACTTTAAATTCAGCTGGAAAAAGCCTCAAGCTATAAGAAAGCAATCCGGAGTTACCTAAGGAGTACTTGAGTTTATAATGGCGCTTAGGTACCTAGCTAGTTTCAGCTTTAACCCTAGTTCCAAGTTCATAAAGTAGTTCTGGGAAGAAATGATAGATTCAACTGCTGAGAACACTATTTATCCATGGATGGATGGTAAAGTTAAAGGGTCTTCAGAAAGAAGCTATTAATCTTTCGGATAGCTACAATAAAGTACGGATCTGTAGAAATAAAAAAGATAAGGTCCATTAGAATCTGTAGAAGCAGAGTATTTATGTACATACATACATATGTAGGTACTTCGTAATTCAACGATAAGATAAGAAACAAGCTTAAAGCGTGGGATGGATCGTGGCGGGGCAAATCTTTTTTTCTTCTTTGGTTCGGCCGGAACACATGCATTTGATGATGAAAGATGCCCCGCAATTGACTTCAACATTACATGGCTTAAGGTATGAATTGTCACAACATGAAAATGTCTAATACAAACTGATCATAACTGACATGGAGTTTTAGTATCTATAATACCGAAATAATGTTAGATAACAAGCTGATATAATCAATGAATCGTACGCAATCAATTGCTTATACTTATAACTATGTTCTCCTGAGAGCTGGAAGCACTCGGGTTACCCCACCTTGATTTCCCGGTCAGGACCTTGACTTTCTGGAGGGGTAGAACGTCAAGATCGCCGGCATATTACCTTCATGTTTTCTAAAGAATTTCTACGGAATGGATATCCGCCCAATTGCTCCGTAAAATATCCGGGGCGGCATTGGATGTAGCCGCTACAGCCACTAGTGGGAAAGCCAGAGGCGTAAAAGTCCAAAGAAGCTTTGACCAAGAATACATAAAAAGATGCATGGAATGATGGATGATACAATTTACCTCTCGAAATAATCCGGGTCGCACCTGTAGCCTCCATAATAAATTCTCGGCCCTCTGCGTCACCGTGGATCTATGATCTGACCCAACAACCCCTCCAAGAGACTAGGGCCCCTCTCCTCCTTCTTTTACCTTCTTTTGCGTCGTCAATGTTTTAATTCCCTCAGAGTTCTCACCAATTTTACAACAAACGATACATTTAAACCATCATATTTTATCTCTCACTGTTTCATCCTACATACCTATTTGCTTTCCAACCCAGAAAACTACAATATATCCTGCCAATTGTCCTGAACAGCTACATTTACAATGGGGTTAATGGAAAAGCTGAACCTGAAGCCTGGAGTTATCTACGGCCAGGATGTCCTCAAGGTAAGCTAGCTAAAAGGGGGATGCTATTCAAGGTACGTATGCTCTGGAAGAAACGAAGACTAACACGCACTGCTCTCACTAGGTATTCCAATACGCCAAGGAGAACGAGTTTGCTCTCCCCGCCGTCAACGTGACCTCTTCTTCTACTGTCGTTGCCGTCCTCGAAGCAGCCAAGGAGACAAAATCGCCGGTTATCATCCAGGTCTCCAACGGAGGTGCCGCTTTCTTTGCCGGAAAGTCCATCTCTAACACAAACCAAGAAGCTTCCGTTGCTGGCGCCGTTGCCGCGGCACACTTCGTCCGCTCAGTCGCTCCCATCTACGGTGTTCCCGTCATTCTGCACAGCGACCATTGCGCCAAGAAGCTGCTGCCGTGGTTGGATGGTATGATCGACGCCGATGAGGCTTTCTTCAAGGAGCATGGAACTCCCCTCTTCAGCAGTCACATGATCGACTTATCAGAGGAGGATGTCAAGTACAACATTGATACAACAGCGAAATACCTCAAGCGATCGGCGCCTCTGAGTCTGTGGCTAGAGATGGAGGTGGGCTTGACGGGTGGCGAGGAGGACGGTGTCAACAACGAAGACGTCGACAACAACTCCCTCTACACGCAACCTGAGGACATCCTTGCCATCTACGAGGCTCTCAGCCCCATCTCTAACCTCTTCAGTATTGCTGCTGGGTTTGGTAACGTCCACGGCGTCTACCAGCCGGGCAACGTCAAGCTCCACCCTGAGTTGCTCGGAAAGCACCAGGCTCACGTGGCTAAGAAGCTAGGTGATGGCCAGGCCAAGCCGGTCTTCTTCGTCTTCCACGGTGGCTCTGGCTCCAGCAAGTCGGAATTTTTAGAGGCCATCTCCCACGGTGTCATCAAGGTCAACCTCGACACTGATCTCCAGTGGGCGTACCTAACTGGCCACCGGGACTACATCCTAAAGAACATCGACTACCTAAAGACTCAGGTCGGCAACCCTGAAGGCCCAAGCAAGCCGAACAAGAAGAAGTACGACCCTCGTGTGTGGGTGAGAGAAGGCGAGAAGACGATGAAGGCCCGCGTTATCGAGGCTTTCGAGGATTTCCGCACAGCCGGAAAGCTATAGATAACTACCTATCAGACTGATGGGAGCATTAGCAGGCATGGTTCTATTACTGGGTAGTATTGAGTAGTTAAAATATGACAATAGTCCAACTTGAACATTACATTGCTTTTTTTGACCAACTAATGTGACCGTTCATGATTCATCCCGTTCCACGGTGTTTGTTACCCACCCCAGTACTACGAATTGCGTCTATTCCTGATGTGTTGCTGTCGTGGGGGATGTAGCACACCCGAAGTCTCCAATACTCGTAGCCGAGGCCCGGAATCGTCCATAATAGCCAAGAATCGGATCGGGAAAAGGCAATCCTAATTAACCAAGGACCCTTGAATATTAGGTAGATATCATGTAGATTTAAAGTCCAATTGTGGCTTAGAAGACACCACTTCATGATTAGGTACTGCTTCTTATGCAGATCAGTCATCCATGCACATAAGGGTCTTATGTCAGCTTGACGTCGCAAATATTACCTGGGCTACCCAATGAATGGCATAAATGCATTTGAGACCATGGATGTAATAGGTAGAATATTTAGTTATAAGGTACAGATCTGTACTCCCAGGACATGGGGACAGATGGGGCTATGGATCTGTGCGCAATTTAACCTTTCGCCTTAATTCTAAATTAAAAGCTAAGAATAAAGTTTTCCTAATTAGACAGCAGGACAGCTTCAAAGTTCAGCTAAGCCTTACTTATTGTTATCAGGTAACGACCGTATATACGTTTTCATTGCCCAAATGCCAATGGACTACTTATAGATCATCGTTCTTCCAATTGAGAAGAATGGGCATGGGCATGACCAGACACCAGGTACTATGCCAAGCATAGCGTCGTGACGCAATGGCACAATATACATAAGGGATGTGTCACAACATTGAAGGAATTGTCTGGTCATCATCATCGGGTACGTGCATTGTCTTCAAGGTAAGGTATATTGACGTGGCTACCGATATCAGCTACCGTACTCCTCGGTTTGAGGAGATGTTGGCAGTATGCGTCCAACCGTCAACGTACAGTCACCCCCTCCCTCCAATATGAATATTCCAACCTAGTCAGGACCTTTGTATCATTGGTTCATGTCTTTTTCCACATTACAGGTGGTACCAGTACGGCGATTATCCGCAAAGAAGACGCCAGGGATCTCTAGGTTTGATTTGGTCATCCTGCAGTTGATGCCTTCCCGTCTATGTACGGATCCATTGTAGGTGATTTCCCCCATGAAAAACATTGCATTCTACTAGCGTTAGAAACGGGATCCATCTGCCTTCAAGCTTTGCCTTGTATGACTCGGTAACCACTACCGGCATTCGAATTAGAGGGGATTATATCATATCTTGGATTCTCCGCATTTCAACTCCAACACTGAACTCAAGATACCTATGATAAAAAGGTGAATGCATATCGAGTCTCGACGTTTCCTCTGTCGGGTGGTGTCGAAGAAGAAACTACATACCTAGTCTTAGGTGGTGTGAAAGGAACCGAATATCTTTTTACTTCAACCCACGAACATAAGGCGATCGACTGGATTTCAAGCAGCTGATCCATCGCAGACATCTCACAACCAGCATGTCCATCTTACATCAACTTATATCACCTTGGGGGTTGGTCGTTGGATGCATTGCTCTTGTTGCCTACTACCTCTACCCGTATCTCATAACATACAGCCACCTTCGAGATATACCTGCTCCATTTCCTGCTCAATTCACCAACTTGTGGCTCCTCTATACCGCTAGGCGAGGCAAACGTCATTGTATGGTGGACGAAGTCCATAAGAAGCTCGGGCCCCTTGTGCGGATCCAACCAAACCACATCAGCGTCGCCGATGATGACGCTATTCAAGTTATCTATGGCCACGGAAACGGCTTTCTCAAGTCCGAGTTTTATGACGCCTTCGTGTCGATCAGACGCGGTGTGTTCAATACTCGGGACCGCGCCGAGCATGCTCGCAAGCGGAAGCTAGTTTCTAGTACTTTCGCTCCGAAATCCATAGTCCAGTTCGAGCCTTATA